ATTACACACGTTCATTAAATACCGTACAGTACTTCTGCTAAACAAGACAGACATATAACACATTTGAATATCTGTCCTGTATAAGTCATCCATATAGTAAACGTGTTTCAAATCATAGTTTTTACTATATCACCATGCTAAAACGGATGGTATTAGATACAGTATTACAAAAATGGATCATTAAGAAATATTGTCTAATACCTAGTATATCAAGGTATTACCATTGAACTCTTTTTTTAACAGGGGAGCAAACAATCTACCATATTACAGTTTATGCTTATTAGTCAGATTTGTTATGCAAATATTTAGCTATTTCCCTAATATTCAGCAGTGCATTTAGTTTTCCTCCCATTCAATGTCACTGAGCTTAAGCCAATGTGAAAGAGTCAAACAGAAATGTCAACATAATGTATCAAGTTTATTTTTTCTAAGGGCTTTTGGCATGGAGTTCCCAGTTTGGGTTGGATTCTCAGGAGATTGATTTCAAAAGAGGCCCCTTTCCCCACTGAGTGATTAAGGCCTCATGTGTGTGGTAGCTCAATGGACCTAATCCAGCTTTGATAACTGCCCCCTGCATTCAAACACTGAGAGACGGCCAGAGCGACTTCACATCCTGTTAATTACCAACTCCTCCATCAGTAAGAACTATGCGCTCTTACAACGTTCCCCCGGCCTCTTCGGCTCCCTCAACATGCCTCTTTGCCCTGTGATTTACAGGCACTTTGAGACAAAGATGCCCTTTTCTCGCTCGCAATTACGGCTAACCCCCCTCTGGAGGGTTTTTTTTTTGTAAAGGGTGGAGTGGTTGACAACCAGTTTGGTGAGAGTTCTGTGTGTATGTGTTGAGAGGTCAATGATGGGGTTGTAGTGTTTGTAAAAGGTCATCAGTTCGGGCCTCGGGTAAGCAGTGTCGTTACGCTAGGTTAACAACAAAAGGGCACTCATGGTGCGCTTTGCTTTTGAAGCAGGATGGATAGTGGGTCGTATACCAGCGCCGTGTCACCCTCCAGAAAAATTACAGGTCAAGAATGTGCCATTGACCACATGTGAGGGGGAACTGAAGGATTAGAAGCTTTAATGCCGAAAGCAAATGGGAAAGTCTGACTGCGAACAAAACCGCCCAACATGGTAGCGCCGGGACTTTTATCATCAAGCTACCCTGAATTCCTATCAAGAAACTAGTTGTGCACCTTCCTGAGCCAAATTCTTCTCTTAACGTCTGTCGCTGCCACAGCGTATTACGCAATAACTCACAAGCCTCTGAGCCACAACTTTGGTCTCAGCTGATGGAGCAATCCAAGGGTTTTTCATTCTTGCTTTTGGCTCTAAAGAAATGAGAATCAGATGTTTGCTGTTGGGGGGGAACAATATCTCCCACCCATCCGGGTGCAGCTGGAGGCACTGGTACATGTGCACTTCATGGTGACAGGAAGGTGAACATTCCACCCTCCTTCCGTCACTGGCCGGCAGCTGCAAGGGCGAAGAAAAAAAGGTCCTGTGAAACAGCGTTTCTCGAGTGGACCGTTGCCCGTGTGGCCATGGAGATGGGAATTTCCTGTACAAGCTCTGTCAGAGCGTGTAAGCGGACTAGCAGATATCTCCGCTGATCTTTTGTTGCTCTGTCGGGCACCGAAGGAACCCCACCGTCTCCTCCTCTTTTCTGCCCGCTCACGACAGTTCAATTTCCTGCTGGCATTTCACTCCGGCAACTTTTTTCATCAATCTCTCTCAAGACTTCGGTTCCCAGACGCTGCCGGGCTCTCGGGTGAAGGGGTGGGTTCGGCGGTTGAGACGTTCTGACTATCATATGAATCTCTGCCTTTTCTTTGAAAGCCACTGGAGGTGGGGTCTCAAACAAAAGCCCTTTCAAATGTATCTGCATCACTAGTTAGGCTGCACAATGGTGAGGAGGGGCCAAAAAAGTCAACAAATAATTCATATCGGCTTCTTTGGTCAAAGGGCAGGAATACAGGCCCTAAAGGGTTGATGTTGTGGGCTACAGCGGAAATATACAACCTCACCGTACATGAATTAATGCAAAACGAAGGAAAAGCCTAATCTCGTAGTCTGTAAAGCCACCACATGCCTAAATCATTTATGCACACAGCAGGTTGCGAGGGTGAATACACCAAACAGGCCAAGAGCGATGGCGGAGCAACAATTCCAGAGAAAGACTTCAAGAGTTCCAAAGTCTTCCTCTGAGGTCCCAGCTGGGCTACTTCATTTAAGCAGTTTCCCATGCAAACATCACAACAGATACTTGTTGTTTGACTTGGCCTAAACACACAGAGAAGCAAATTAACTAAACATTTTCTCCACTTTGTGTGGAATTTCACTAACCACCCACATTCCAAGACGCTAAATACACTTAAAATTGAGCTGGAACAAGTTTATACTCATTCATTGTTATTCTTTTAGAGCAAAAACATGGCTCAATTGTAGCCTATTTAAAATAGTCTCATTATTGATCTTATTCACAAAGCTCAAAGCTATTCGCCAGCTGCAATTAAAGATGTGCCCGTTTTAAATCACGTTCCACGCACTCAATTTCATTTTATTGAGATGCTTGCGTACAACTTCTATTAATCATAGCAGCACTTATTCAACAAATGATGATGAAGCATATTTTTTTCCCCCTGATAACCAAGTTGGGCCAGTTGCTTACCCTGCATTAATTTTCACTGGTACACCACAAACGAATTATCTATTTTTATTTCAATTTTCAATTCATGTCATGGCCCTGTAAACCCAGCAAACTTTCACTTTTGCATGATATCTGCTAAAGTAAAACTGGAAGGTATGTTACATAACTATTCATGAAGCACAGTTTACCTGGAACAAATTTCTCCCACAGGAATTACAGTAACGCTTTAACCAGAAGTTCATCCACCCAGAAAAGTAGTCAAACCTCAAAAGGCAGAGATAGGCAACTTCTCAGAAATCCAATCACACACATTTTTACTGATTAATTCTGGTCTTTGCATACTGACATTGCTGTGTTTAAATTGCCCAACAGTCTTCTATCGTAAGTGCCTTACTATAAACATGTTTTTGTTTGTTTTTCCAAACTGAAGTTAAACTAAAGTCTAAGTTATTCTCTTCAAATTAAATCTCCTTAGTTTAATAAACATTCAGAACACCGTGACTATTTAACCATCGAAAAGAGTCAACACTCAAATCCTGACCGAGTATCCTTATGAACTCTGGAGCCTAAAATAATAAAGAAAACAATAATAAACGATAATTTCTAACCCACAATCGCTCTGTTTTACAAGCTGATAATTGACATGCGATGTCAGCTGGCCAATAAAAAAGATGGGGCGTGAGAAACTATCATGCTGAGTGTTCAGCCAAGAGAGGAAGACGAAAGAAGAACACAATAATATTTCTCTTATTCTGGCCACGCTGAGAGAAAAAGGAAAACAAGTCACTGTGAACCCACGAGGAACTGTTTGGGAAGTGAAACCAGAGCACCTTAAGTACGTCTGGTCCAGATGAGGGCAGTTATTCCTGGCTGGTGTTGAAAAGAGGTGGGAAAGCCAGGTGGGGACCTTGTTGCCCCAGACCACCCCTATGGGACCTGACCGCAAAACTCCACCCTGGTGAGGGTGCGATGGAAGGTAACGCCGCTCCAGCGCTGGGGATATCGCAGCTGGACGGATCCAGGCATAGGTCAACCATTGTCAACCATTCTCGCCTTGAATAAGTGAGGAGCTCCGGATGTCAGGGTGTGTTATTATGGAACAATGTTGCCTGGTGATATTGAAATATTACCACCAGAAGCACACGACAGCAGTGTCCCGATGCTATTCTTAAACTACTTAGTCAACAGCCGGTGTATCATCAGGTATCAGTCATCAGATTAGCGACAAGCTTAAATGAGTGTGTCTAACATTGCTTTAATCTGGGGAGGAGCACAGAATACTTTTTCCCTGAAATGCGTTCTGTCCGGACTCCGGACACAATTGGGTTGAACTCACATTTTAAACAAAGCCTAACCAGAGAGGCAGCACAAAAAAAGCAGGGTGGGCCGGAGTATGTGACTGGAGCAGTTCTGTAATCACTCCACGCTCATCATATTAGAAGATCGGAACTATTATATAACATGGCTAGGGCAGGGCAATATGACCTAAAATATGATCGGAATATTCTCATATAATTAGATATCGTAATATTCATTTCATACCATTAATGTGGAAGGAAGAGGATTTTGCATGTTATATCTTAAGCATGTTATATGTTATATTTGCATGTTATATCTTAAGAATGAATGTAAACAAAACTTGTTAACCCCCCAAACCCCCCTCCCCCCCCCCCCCCGTCTAATAACAATGAATTCATAAAAATATAACAATTGCATCAAACTTAACATTAAAAATATATTTTCAAATAAAAATAAAAACATATTGGTCGTATTATATTATTTTAATTATTATTAATAATAAATCAATGTAAAGTTTTAATACATTGTGTTATTGCGAATATTATTATGATGATTTTTATTATCTTTATTAATATTATTAAATAATATCATACAACCAAGATATTTTCATCAATGTTTTAATGTATACAGTTTTCAATTTATATACAATATACTATTATTTTATACAATAGTAGTACATTTCCGAACCAAAACTTTTATTTTTGACGGTTTGTCCTGAAGACCTTTGAGTCTCAGTGTGTTTTTAACAATAGCTTTTATCAAATAAAATGATGAAATGCTTGATGAGGTTCATGTGGACTGTCCTCATATAGTATGACAGCCGATGCTGAAAACACAACAAGCGTCACGCAAACTTAAGTGTGTGTAGTGGATGAAACTGTTCAAGTTTATCAATATTGCCAATTGTTTTTTCTGATAAATATCGATACAGATTTGTCATCCACTCATAAGAAGCAAAACATCCAATGTGTATTGAACCATGAGGAAAATGAGGGACGCTTGGTGTAATTTCACAGCATCACTTTCACACAAGTTAAAACCCTAAACTTTGACTCACCAAGTCGGCTTTGCTTTTCCCTGCAGGCAGTGGTCAGCTTTGCCAGCTCCTCGTACTTTGCAGCCAATCGCAGCTTGCCGTTTTGAAGATGAGGGCGATTTGAAAGGCTGTCTTCTGCAAGACTCCGATTGGTTACTAACAAGGTTTCCCTGTCCAGCTCGAGTTCCTGGAACTGAACACAAATTTCAGTTATTCGTCACTTAAAAAAAAAAGAAACTGGAACAACAAAGACTGCATCTTTCATATACCATTTAAAACACAAATCAATCGATTCTACAACCCAAAGAAAGACCAAGATGTCTTAATCAGTTATGAGTATCACAGGGACAAAACATTAAACATGTTTACTACTGTACATCAAAGTCCATTTCTTGTGTATTCAATCTTGAAGGGAGTTCACACTGACAGAGCTTAAATCATAGAAGGTCACCAAGTACTAGCTTTCCAGCTAAACTGCTGTACCCACTGTATCAGGTGACGGATCAAGCAAGCCAGTAGCTTTCAGCTTTTTGATGCCAAGGACCCCCAAATATGATAAGGGACCTGCTTTCAAAATTTAAAGGCAGCTACATATGTACTGTTGTGTGTGCACAAATAGCAAATGGGATATTATAAAGTAAAAATTAAGTGGTTAAAATATTACTAGAAACTAGAAAAGGTAAAGTTTAGTAAAGTTTGATGACTTGACAAAGCATGGCCTAAAAGTATGAAATAGTTTTGAAAGTTTGAATGTTTTATTGTAAGAGAAAAGCAGAAAGAAGGTCGGATTAAGACCTCCCAGACAGGCCATATTAGTCCACTTCAGACCCCATTTGACCTCATTAGACCCCAATAAAACATATCGAACCAGTTACATTCCTAATAAACCTTTTCAGACCAATCAGATCTGAGAGACTGAGCACTATTACTAAGATCCCTAAGAAAGCAAATCAGACCACATGTTTTAGGCCTCGCTACCATGTTTCTTAAAGGTGCTGTATGTAATTTTTGACTACTAAAGCAGACAGATACCATAATATGTTTGCAGAAATTTAGGAAACATGCTAAGTTCACATATTTGTTTATCTGAAAAACGACGCTGAATGCTACAGACGGTTATTTTACTTTGAAATGTGCGTTCCGTGTCGGAATATCTGTTTTTGTTTTGGTCTGTGTGATCCCGACCACTGCTAATTTACCCAATAGTATTTCGAAATCACGAGTTGCCAGTTGGTGGAAAACACAGCTTATTGCAGCCATGGAAGCCAGCAAACGATCTGGTTCAGAGATAGCAGATTCTACCCGACCTAAAAAGCCTCAGCCTCCATCTAAAAATATTAGCATATTAGAACATATTAAAACACGGATAAATCAACTCATCAACTTACAAGTTTGTAAGTCTTCTTGCCTTCCATTGTTAATTGTTGTCCTGTTGCGTGTCCTCAATCTGGCAACCCGCATGAGTGTCGAGTCTGAGAAGTATTTTGAATTTGGACTGCAGTACCCATTTCAACTGTTAACTGTCAATATTACTGGACCTTTAGGTGTGGTCACATTTTTCGTTGCCCGGCGAAATTTCACGATCAGAAATTAAAGGCTGTCATTCCAATCGGAACACGTGCAATTAGAAGGTTTAAGTGAGTGTTCTAATTTTCAGGTTAGTCACATGAATTCACCACACTGACCAACAGAAAGCTGCTTGGTTTGAAAGTGAGTTCTATGTGAGCTGTGCTTTATATACTGCTACAGTATTGACCAGAAATAATGTACTTTTTTTGTGAAATGTAATCTAAATCTAATGTGAATACCTTAATAGTTAGTATTTCTTAACAAATGTTTTGTAGGCATTGTTAGCATGTGTTGCTAGCATAATTTTACATGTTTTAACACACAACAAGTTTTGGCATGTTCCTATAATGTCCCCAGGACAACATGTCCTGTTGCTTGTCACGGTTGCATCATTTACAAGAGATAGCTGGAAGAGAAAGCTTTTTTTTCTTGTGGTATTTATCACATTGTGGCCAGATTTACTAAACAGGGCAAATTAGCGTGAGAGCGCAATTCCAAAAAAGCGCAGATGGGAGTGGAAAGTTCAGCATGTCATCTACTGACAACACGCAAATGAAAGAACACAGATGCAGTCGGAACATTTCCATAAAGACCAACGCAACCTACCAAGAGCAGCGTAAATTAGCATCTTGTTTTTAAGACAATTTACCAGTAAATTGATTAGCGCAAACCTTAGTAAATCACATTGCGTGATTCATTTAAATACTCTCCTCCCATAAATTTTGCATCTGAAAGGGAAACTCCAACAAATGCATATGCAATAAGTTCAGCCGCAAAAATAAACATAGCTACTGAAGAAGCACGTTCCACAACTGTGGCGTTTTTTACTCATTTGGAGCAGATGAACCTTAATTTCAATGTAATCCTGTAGGCTATAAGGCCGTTAAGAATGCAGCTCCTCATTCAAGATGGCCATCAAGGTCAAACCACAGAAATCAGGAATGCAAGAACACAGAGAACTCAACAATTTTATTCAGGAATTATGAGCCATACAGAGTGAGTGTGAAAAATGCAACTCAATACATCAAATTCCTCAGGGGTCATATGAGGTTAGCTTAATATGCCAGGCACAGAATCCATGAACGTGTTCAAGTGAGATTGAAGGAAATCTAAGAAAGAGAAAATAATAGCCTCCAGCTTTTTACTAATGGGACTGAAGACTTTAGCTAATAGGTTTGATTTGTAGAGGAAAGCTCCTTATGTTTCATGTGAACAGTGAGATCTGGAAATGGCTTGGGCAAGGGCCCATATCTGTGTGTGAACAAAGAAATTCAACATTTAGCTTTAAGGCTGGGTAAAAAAATTCCAATTAATCATAATCTTCATATCAATTAATTAAATAACTCTTAAGAACTGGTTCTTTTTTTAAACTTAAATTTAAAAAAGTAAAAGTGACATGTGAAGGCCAAGTCTGGTAACCCATACTCAGAATTTGTCCTCTGCATTCTAACCCATCCAAGTTAGTGCGCACACATTAGGAGTAGTGAGAAGTGAACACGCACACACCCACACACAGACACACACTGCAAAGCGTAGACACACACACCCGGAGCAGTGGGCAGCCATTTTTCCTGTGGCGCCCAGGGAGCGATTGGGGGTTTAGGTGCCTTGCTCAAGGGAACCTCAGTCATTTCCTGCCGGTATTGAAAATCGAACCCACGACCTTCGGGTTACCAGTCTGACTCTCAAACCTTTAGGCCACGACTGCCCCCAAAGAATCTAAGAATAGAAATTTAAGAATATAATAATATAAAATTAAAATTAATAATAAATAAATAGAGCATTACCATTGTGATGCAATTCATGAAGAAATGACTCTTATGAACTGGGGTCCAATTCATGTACAACTGACTCGTTTGAACCGGTTCATTTAGTGAGTCACACACTGCCAGTGCAGTTCGATTAAAAAACAAATGAGTTATTCAATTATTCAAAAAGACACAAGAGATTGACCGTTTTAATCAGACTGGTGGATCTTTCATTAACTTAACTTACTGAATCTGTCAGAGCGGTTATGGAATCAAGTTATCATTACTTACAGTGATACATTTTAATATATAGGATAACTGTTTTACTCAAAAGGCAATTGAAAGCTTACTTTAAACTCTTATTTTTTGGTTGTTCATTATTATATCTGTTCAATAAAATCAATTCAACTGCATAGTTTGGGCCACCAAGTTAGAAGGTTATAGCAGTAGCTGAGAGAGAAGTTTTTTCATACAAGCAAAATGTATATTTTAACTGAAATATAATCAAACTGAATCAATTCCAAAATTGATTGAGGGCTTGTGAATTGGGAAAATGTATAACCAGTCTTACTAAGATTCTGCTTAATTCATATTTTAGGAGTGATTTTATCTCAAGGGCAAGGCCCAATACATGACAACCACAAGTAATTTGAGATAAAAAATACATGATGGCATCACAAACAGCAATAGGCTATCTCGGAGGTAAAGACCTCACTCACCACAATTTAATTCTTTCTGAGCGCCACTAAATATTGACATTCAACTATTTTTCTGTAAATGCAAGTTGACGATTTCCAGATGAAAGCGACTAAGCATTCTTTCAGTGATTTGCCATTGAAAAGGGGACAGCCTGGAGCGCCAGTGGAGACAATGCTCGATTAAGCAACCGCCTCAGTCTACCACGTCTTGCTTAATTACAATAAAACAAGGTTCCATGACGAAATAATCCTTTTGGAATGGCAGCTGGACAACTCTGTCCACATGTCTTTTAAAAAAAGCACCATTATTCGCTCTGACCGTCCTGCATGACATGGCCCAAGACCACTCTCTAACCATAGAGGGAAAAGGAGAGACAAGTCCAAACCAATGTCCTCATGGAAAGCATTCGCAAAGGCACCAGACATCAGTCAAAACCACAGACCCCTACTTTCACTGTAAGTGAGGGTTTGGGTCATAACAGAACTTAATTTTTCTTCTCCTGTAGCTGCAATGAATATTAACTGCCAGTTTTATGCATTTCAAAACTTGGGGAACTTTATGAAGACTGAGTGTGCTTAGTCAAGCATATAAGAGGATTAATGATTCATTCGCTCAACGAATACGAGAATTTTGCCTTCCTACTTAATGCCGTGTGAGACCCTCAAACATGGTGGTGATATTCCCACTGGTGGCACATCTATCTTCTGAAGACGATGAAACTGGAATACTTGAGCTGCTTAGAATAACTCAAAAGAGCATACGTGATCAGAACATGGTTAAGGTTATGTGAGGTTCTTTTTGTTCGGAAATAACTTAACATTTTTAAGGTCAATTGCTTGGTTCAAACTATCGACATATTTACACGAGGACGTTCCATCAACGCCTCAAGAGAGTGGCTGATGGTTGTATGTTTCTCTTGGATAATCATTTTCTAATTAAAGGATTATTATATACAGTATAAGCAATGTAAATATTCAGAACTAATCCCTCATCAAATTGCAGATGGAAAATGCCAAGCAGTTATTTGATCACATAATACTAAGTGATTGCAAATTACACGCATCAGTTCTGCATGACGAATTGAGCCGTGAATAGTAAAATGCAAACACGAGATGTCTATGCTGCTGTCCTAGTTTGACATCTTTCCATTTTTAGGCCTAAGATTTAGAGTTTGATC